GCGTCCGTCCCTTGCCGGCTGTGAGTTTGGGCTAAATCCAGGAAATCGCGGCAAGCCTGGAGGGGAGGAAGGGACGGATCAGCACCAGCACAGCCCTCGAGCCTGGGAGCTCGCTGTGGAGCCAGCACCAGCACGTGGCGACTCCAGAACTGGCTTCCCATCACCTCTTCCCCCAGGTCGCTGGTCTTCCCAAACGCCACCCCAGAGCTCCGCAGTCACCCATACCCATGGGGCGAAGGACAGTTCAGCTCTGACCATCCAAACATCAACCATGACCAAGGAGTTGCACCATGGACAATGCCCAGAGTCCATGAAGCCTCAGTGATGTTCCTCCTCCCACAGCCATCCATGAGCACAGCCCCTCAGCCTGTTCCTGTCCCCAGCCCCAGCCCTGGTCCCCCGGAGCCCAAGATGGGCTCACACAAACCTCAGCCTTTCGTGGATACCCTGAAACCTCAAGCAGTCACATCCACCAGTCCTGCAGCTGAGGCAAAAGTGAACAGGACAATGGTCTCCAGGGTGACAGCCACAAACAGCAGAGAATGCTCATGCTGGGAAGCAGCCCTTTGCTCCAAGGAGGCAGAGAGGGAGGATGCCCAGCTCCTCCCAGAGCCACACAGCCCAGCACACAGTAAAGGGCCTGGCCTGGCCCCCATAACACGTTCACCATGGCCAAAAGCCCTCTCCTCTCCACAATGGGCCCTTGGAACCCAGCAGCCACAGGGACACATGCAGACACACTGGGCACAAGGGAAGGAGAGCTCACGGGATGCCTTGGAAGTCTTCTTTAGATAAAACACTGCCTCTAAAATCCAAAACTATTCAAAAGGACTAAACCCAGAGAGCTCAGGATGTCTGACAGACTTTATCCATGCCCAGGACTCGGAGCCTTTCTGTTTCCATCTACTTGGGTTTCATGTGTGATTTATTCAGCTCTTCTTGGCAGGTTACTCTACATTTGGGCTGCAAGTGGCACCTGAGTATCGAGGTATCTCCGGGTCAAGCAACCAGTTCAGGGCCTCAGCCTCCATGACCAGGATTTGTCCAAGAAAGGCTCCAATGCACCAGTTCTTCATCAAACCAGGAGCTCCCTAGTGCCAGAGGGTCAGATCAATGAAGGACAAACACAATGAGTTTGGGTCTGTTCTCTGGGGAAGAAAAATCAGGTTCACCCATCCTGTTTAAAAGCTGTTCTGCTTTGTCTTCATCTCTGCACCTTTCTGCTTCCCAATACCTGCAGCACAGAAGGACCTGACCCAGCACCTGTGTCATCTCCATCCCTCACTGCTCCTGCCTGCTCTCACCATTCCATGATTCTCCCTGTCCCCCACCCCATGTGTGGGGTTCTGCAGGCTCATTCCCACATCAAAGTGCCCGGGTGGATTTAAACCACACTCTTGCAAACCTGCTGGTTTTTCCAAGATGGACAGGTATGTGGAGCATCCCAAGGGTGAGCTCCAACACACATCAGTCTGCAGCAACATTAAGGCTCCCTAATGAGACACTATCAGGTGAAGACTTGCCAGGCAGGAATGATTCAGCCCAAAAGCCTGTGCAAGGTCTGCAACATGGGTTTGACCTGCAGCATCAGCTTCTCAGCCTCCTGCTTTCCATTTCTGGCCATCAGAGACTCCAGTGGTGCTGTCACACCAAGAGAGACACCTGGAATCCCCCCGTGTGCTGGGCTGCACCCCCAGAGCATGAGCAGCAGGTTGAGGGAGGGGATTCCCTCCCTCTGCTGCACTCTGGGGGAGACCCCACTTGCAGCACTCTGTGCAGTTCTGGTGTTCCAGAATAGGACATGGGACTCTTGGAGCAAGTCCAGAGGAGGCCACAAGGATCATCAGGGGCTGGAGCAGCTCCCGTATGGAGACAGGCTGAGAACATTAGGGCTGTTCAGCCTGGAGAAGAGAAGCTGCGTGGAGATCTCAGAGCAGCTTCCAGTGTCTGAAGGGGGCTGCAAGGGATCCAGAGAGGGCCTGTGGTGATAGAACTGTAGGGACAGGACAAGGGCAATGGCTTTAACCTGCCAGAGGGGAGATTGAGATGAGCTCTGAGGCAGAAGCTCTTCCCTGTGAGGGTCCTGAGGTGCTGGCTCGGGGTGCCCATAGAAGCTGTGGCTGCCCCATCCCTGGCAGTGTTCAAGGCCAGCTTGGACCCAGGTTCTTGGAGCAACCTGCTCTAGTGGAAGGTGTCCCTGCCTGTGGCAGGGGTTAGAGCTGGAGGAGCTTTAAGGTCCCTTCCAACCCAGACTTGTAATTCTACCTGCCTGGCTCTAGAACTACTCCGCTGTGAGCACCACGCTGCTCTCTGGAAACAATTCCATTCCTCTCCCTGGCCCAGAAAGTCCCATCAGCAGCCACCCATGGCCACAAAGCCCAGGGCAGACCCTGCCTTGATGGCTTCATCCCCACCTGCAAGCTGAAGCCTCCCCTCAGTTAAAACAACCCCAGTCCCAAGCTGGATTCTTTCATTACACTGATGCATTGCACTAAGAGGATGACACCACAAGGGCAAGTAACAAGATAGTGGCCGTGCCCTTCCCAGCCCAGAAAAGCTCATTATCTGCTCCCAAGGTCTCTCCCTGCAGGCAGCAGGCACAGAATTATCCATGCTGGCACAACTCACTGGCACTGAGGATGGAAATTCTGGCTGTCCCCAACTCAGAAGGCTTTGAAACGATGCTCTAGCAGACCACCTCTTACCCTCCTGCGACTCACGATATGCTGGAAGGTGTAATGGTAAATTGGAGGAAGAGGAGGTAAGGAGAAGAGGCAGGAGAAGGCAGCTGGAGCTGGGGGACATGGAGGAGAAATGGCTCCATCAGTCGAAGGGAATCAATGTCCTAATTAAAAACCACAGCAGATCAAACCTCGGATCCTCTCACCCCGAGGATGCCGAACTTCACAGAGGATCCTTGCTGTATCCCACAGGGAAATGTGCACCCACAGGCTTCATTCATATTAATCCAAGCGATGGAGAAGTGGCTCCATGGAGCATGAGGAGATGTTGGGCAGACCAGCCCAAGCAAGGGATGCCAAGGATGGCAACAGGAGAATATCCTGCAAGCAAGACCCCCAGGCCCAGGTCCTCAGCTTCCAGCTCCAGCTCCAGCAGCAGCCAAGCAAATTGAAGTTATTCAGTTGGTTTTACACCTCCTTCAGCCAGACAGTGCGGAGGTTCACAGGGATGCTCACCAGAGGGGACAGCAGCACTGGGGAGGGCTCAGGGTGTATTTTATCACCATTCCTGAGCTAAAACATGCCCCAGACCCCAGCATGGAACAGCAGCAGCACCATGAGCTCCAAGGGGCTGCTGGGACCTGGGGCTGAGTAGTTCAGACATGAGCATCTCCCCCGGAGAGGTGAATACTGAAGAGAAATGCGTCCCAGCCCTTAGCTCGGGCTCTGCTGTCTGGTTTTCCCAGCCCCTGGGCTGCTGGTGTGGTCCATGAGGAGCCGGGTCTCAGCCTGAGACACCTCAGCCACGTCTTGGCTCCATCCAAAGACAAGCCTTGAGATGCAGGATGAAGCCCCCAGATGCTCCACACCAGAGCCAGCAGCCAGCATGACACTACTGCTGTGTGCGGAGGGGAGCCTGATGCTCCCAAGGAAACAAATCCAGAAGGAAAATGTCCATACCCCAGCCTGGTTTGGGCTGGAAGGTACATGAAAGCCCATCCAGTTCCAACTCCCTGCCACGGGCAGCAACACCTTCCACTAGAGCAGGTTACCCCAAGCCCCTGTGTCCAACCTGGCCTTGAACACTGCTAGGGATGGGGCAGCCAAAGCGTCTGTGTTGGAACTGGATGAGATTTAAGATCCCTTCCAAAACTTCTGGAATTCTATGGTTCTATGATGCTGGCACAGGGACATGCAGCCCTCACTGCCCCAACCACAGCAGCAGTGCCCTGGGATCCCCAGCCATGCTCCTGCCATGCTCAAAGCAGTACCAAGAGTGATGCTGCTGCACCTCGACCCACTGGGGCAGCCAAGGAGGACTCACTGCAGCAAGGGATGGCATGACAAGGTCCCAGGGAAGGAGACAAATCCCTTCATGCCCCTCCTCTGCCACGTCCTGATTCTGGATGGGTTCAGTTCCTCTGCACCATGCCGGGATGAACTCGGCTCCACTCCCTTCCTGTGCCACTGACCCTGCCACAGCAGCTCAGCCAGTGCTCAGGACCTGGGCTCAAAGCAGCCACAAGCAGCTCACCCTCAATGTCCCCATGCCACATGGTTCAGGAGGAGCCAGGGGGCCCAGGAGCTGCTGGCTGTCACCCCAGCACCCACCTTACCTCAAACAGAGGCTGGCAGCACCCAGGAGGAGCCTGGACCTTCTGCTTCACCGCTCACAGGCATCACTGCTTCCCACCTCCACTGGGGTTGTGTGGTGTCATCCCTAGCAGCAGCAGACCTTGCAAATCCCTCGGGATCAAGGCTGGGAGCTGTTTCCAGCAGCAGCAGCCATTGCTCTGCAGGTGGCCGAGGAGCAAAGGTGTGATGGCCCCAGTCAGTGACACTAAGGGATGTGAGTGACTCCCCTGGACCACTCCTGGTACGGATTAGGGTGAGGGCAGGAGACATGAATGCAGCCGGAACTCCAGCATCCCAGGTCATGGCTCCTTCACTTCACTCATCCCCCCGGCTCACTGCTCCAAAGCTGCAACCAACTGCACACCTCAAATCCAGCTTATAGAAACCTTACGGAGCAGCAGCTAAATTTAGTCACAGCTGAGCCTGATCCAGGCTGTAAGACACAGCCCCAAATCCACGCTGCTGCCGCAGGGACATGGACCATCCTCACAAGGGTCAGAGGAACCTGCCACAAGGAGAGCGCAGGGCCCAGTCTGCAGCAGGGAAGCAGGAGATGATCGAGTCCCCAGTGAGCTCTGTGGCTGGGGGTCGAGGCTATGGGCATCTGAAGATGCAGCCTTTGCACAGACATCCCATCATCTGCAGAG